ACGGAGTAATCCTAGACGAAGTTGCTGGCTTGTCATTTCCTTCTTCCCAGACTCTGGTGTCCCTGGGGAACCCTCTGAGCAATCATAGGCCAAGGACATTGGCATCATAGAGACTCAGCATTGGTTTCAAAGACAAAACGTGGAGGACAGGCGATGGAGAGAGGTAGGGCTGGTGAGCAAGTTTCATTCATTGTCTCTGAGCCTTCAGTGGGTGCAGGCCCTGGCCTCCTGCTGGTTGGGGCGCTGGGTGGAGGTGCTGGTGTTGGGTGCGGAGCTGGAAAGTCCAGGGTTAAGAAGCTAGATGAGGATTCAGAGTGAAGATGCTGGGTGCGAACGCTGGGTGCTGATGAGGAGGGAAGCGATGATAGGAGGGTGCCGAAAGCTAGGAATGGTTCTGACCTCCAGACTTGTTATTCACAAGCACTAAGGGACCTCCACATCTCCCGCTACCGGCCCGTCAGAAGCGGGGGCCTCCACAGCCTCATCCTCACTGCCCACCAGTGGCTCTTCCTCCCCCTTCAGGCTGGCAGCTGACTCGGCCTTTAGCTCCTCCAGTGCCAAGGAGCCCTGGCGAGACTTCCGCCTACCAAAGAAAGTGGTGAGTGTGGGCCGACGGCCAGAACCCGCCCCTTCTGGGACCCCAGAGCCCTTGTCACCACCAGACACTCCTGCTGCTGTTATCACAGCCTCTTCATCAGACACTCGGGCGGGCCCAGCCCAGGCATCGACCACCCCATTGCGCTTCCCACCTCTGTTTAGCGTCAGAGCCCCCGTCCTCCGCTTCTGCCGCCGGCGCCACAGCAGGACGAGTGCCAGGAGGATGATGACCACCAGCAGGGCCACAAGCACAGCCACCACCAGGGTGTTACTTGTCTTCTGATCTGAACTTTGGGAAGGCCCACTGCCTTTGTTTGTGGAGATGCCTGGGGTAGTCATGGGTATTTTCACCCCAGAGATGGGCGAGCCACTGGTCTCCTTGGGAGTCTCCAGAGAGCTGGTTGTCATGGTGACAGGGCGTCCACTGGTCCCATTGGAGGTCTCCAGAGAGCTAGTTGCTATGGTGATAGGGGGTTCACTGGTCACATCAGAGGTCTCCAAAGAGCTAGTTGTCATGGTGACAGGGAGTCCACTGGTCCCACTGGAGGGCTCCAGAGAGCTGGTTGTCATGGTGACAGGGAGTCCACTGGTCCCACTGGAGGGCTCCAGAGAGCTGGTTGTCATGGTGACAGGGAGTCCACTGGTCCCACTGGAGGGCTCCAGAGAGTTAGTTGCCATGGTGACAGGAGGTTTACTCGTCAACATCCCACTGGAGGTCTCCAGAGAGCTAGTTGCCATGGTTTCACCAGCCGTAGTGTGAAGTCCCAGAGCAGTCATTGCTGGGACAGTAGGATCACTGGTTGCAGTGGAGATTTCCTGGGACATTGATAACTTCCCGGTGGGAACTTCTTGGGTGGCTATTGGATCCGCTATAAAGAGGCCAACGCTGGCAGCCATGGTCTCAGGAGAGGACACTTCGTATGGAGCTGAGGAAGGCAGGGAGACCTGGTGCCCAGTACCGCCATTTTCCTCAGGGACCCTTGTCATTGCCTGATCGGAGGCCACTGAGTCAAGGTTTGAGGCCTCAGAGATGTTTGAGACCAAAGAAGAAGAGGTCTGTCTGGGAATAGACATCTCCGGAGACCCTGTGTCCACCTCCTGGGCCCACAGACCCCCAAAGAAGAGGAGAAGCAGGGTCATTTCCATGACAACAGACATGAGCAGGAGTTGGGACCTGAGGATGGAGAAATGGAACACATAAGAGGCTGGTGGTAGGACCTTCCTCCTGCCGACTTCCCTGCCAACTGCCAGGCCTAACCTGAGGTTTAACGGCTTTTTCCACCCTTTCTTTTACTATTATCAGAAACAACAAGGGAACAGATGCTGGGAGCTCCTCCATCAACTCTATCCCCTAGGCCCCCTCAGGCCATAGCAGCTTGCAACCAGCAACGGCCACCCCTCCCGGCCTTCCCTGACCCTCTTCAGCCCCAGTGGCTCCTGATCCTCTTTTCCCGCCATTTGTCAGGGTCTTTCTGAGCCATAGGCACATTCCCAGGTCTGATGAGACCCCCGCCCCACCGAGTCCCACCCCCTTACCAGCTCACGTGATAAGGCCCAGGCCTGGGGCCACGCTGCTCCAACTCCTCCTGAAGCTGGGGTAGGACTGGGCGGACAGGGGCCCCAAGGGGAAAGGAAGTGGCCCTGGCTCCACCCACCCCACCCCAGCATCCTGCCCCACCCGCCCTGTTCCCACTGCTGCCTTGTGACCAGAGCGGCATCACTTACTCTTTCTGAGGTCTGAGGTGGTGCAGGGGCTCTGGGGTCCGAGCTGGGGCGGGACGGGGAATCTGGGGTCGGGAGTCCTCCGTCTTAGCAGGGAAATGGGCGGGAAATGGGACGGCAAGAGGTTCAGCTGGGATAAGGAACGGGGTCAGACCCGGGGTGATGGGAACCTGCACTTAAGATCTAGGGGTGCAGGGGAGGAAATGAGAGGGGAGGGTGGTTTCCTTTGCATTTGTGGTCCCCAAGCTGTTAGGCCAGAATCCAGGAAGTACCAGGGGCAAGAGGAAGCCCCTGACTCTGCTGGGGGCAAAGAAAGCCTTTGCAGGCTGCACGGATCCCTGGTGAGCCCCTGACTGCTTCTCAAGAAGCCGGAGGGCCGCCACAGTGGCCCCGTGTGGCTGCGTAGCTAAGTCAAGGCAGCTGCAAGCACTGCACAGGCCATGATCTGATTCTGGCAGAGGCCTAGCACACACGTGGCCCTCTCCGTGGAAAGAGCAGTCTGGGGAGATCTGCTGGGGTGCCAACCAAGTCTCTGAGGACAGGTATGAGGAGGGCTCGTTATTTTCCTCTTTGGATGGTTGTTGTTTTCTGATTTTCCCCCAATTTGTAAGCTCTGACTTTTGCTATGTGTGTGGTTTTGTTTTTTGCCTTCTTTCTAAAAACATAAAAACTGTAAAAGCAATAGATGTACCTATAGGTGAAACAGGCCAGTGTCAGGCCTGGTCCTGCCCCACTCACAGGCTCACTAACGAGCGAATCTGACGCCAAGACCGAGACGCCTGGGTCAGAGACAGGAGCTCAGTAGTGGCCGCACAGCAAGCAGCAGGCGCTATGTGGTAACCAGCTCCCCTCGCCCCCAAGGCCCGCACGGGGACACACAGGGGCTTGCCCCACAGCTGAGAAATTTCTCTCTTCAAGCAGGCGGTAAGGAAGCCTGCTCCCTGTCCTTACAGGAGACATTACTCTGCCCCTTAGAGTTACTCACTGCAAACACAAACCTGAGAAGCGGCCTGATATGGAGTGGCCAGGACTTTGCCTGCCACACACCAGCAGGCGCTGCAGGGAAGCTCAGGGCCACAGCGGGTGGGATGCCGCTCCAACAGCCAGGAGAGCGCAAACTGGGAAGGCTCCATTCACCACCAGCAGGTAAACATTCCTAACAAAGCCTTTACGCATTCATGTATCCTGTCTAATAAAGAGGGAATATGCTAATTGACCCTCACACCATTGCAAAGATGGCGGCCTACAGCCAATAAGGAGGGAAGGTGCTAATTGACTGCCCTGCCCTCAAGGATGGTGGCGCCCACAGCCACAAGATGGCGGTGTCCAGTCCCCTCAGCCCTCCAGCCACCCAGGGCCATCCGAGGCTCAGGTAACCAGAGCCGGCCGAGGCTTGTGCTGCCGGCAGTGGCAGCAGCAGAAGTGTGACGGGGCGTCGCCTTCCCCTGATCACCGGGTCGCCTCCCACCCCTGAGGGCTCCTGGACTGTGAGAGGGGGCAGGTGGGGCTGAATTTTCATGCACCAGGCCTCTAGTTTCATTATTTTAGACTAGAGGCCCGGTGCCCAAATTCATGCATGGGTGGGGTCCCTCAGGGTGGCCTGCGGGGATCAGGCCCCAGCTCATGCCCTCAGCCTCGCAGCTCTGCAGCCCCATCTGGCACCCCGCCGTGGCCTGGCACCACCCCCTCACCTGCTCTACCACCCTGCCTGCAGGACGATCAGTCAGGGCTGGGCCCCCTGCTCTCTACCTCAGCACCTGGGAGCCAGGTGGCAACCCCTCCCCCCACTGCCACTGCTGGTCGCTGTCTGTGGGGCGATTGGTGGGGCAATCGGGCCCCCCGCTCGCACCCACCTTGGCCTGGTGCCACCCGCTCATCTGCTCCACCATCCCACCACGGTCCTGCTCCCATCATTAGGGCCCATCAGAGTCGGCAGCACCTTCACTGCTGCTGGCTGCCAACACCGCATCGACGACACCCATCATGTTCCGCACCACCCCCTGGTGGTCAGCACACGTCATAGCAAGCGGTTGAACTCCCGGTTGAACAATTTGCATATTAGGCTTTTATTATATAGGAGGATTTCATTACATACACTGTTCTGTACTTTTCTTTTTTTACTGAACTAATGAAAGAAGGAGAGAGGGAGGGAGGGAAACAGGGGAGGGGAGAGGTGGGAGAAAGGGAGGAAGGAAGGAAGGTAAGAAGGGAGGGAGAAAGGAAAGAAGAAAACCATTCCATTGTTGGACCTTTAGGTTGCTGCAACATTTTGCTACTGCAAACAGAAAAGTAGGAATAATTGGCTGCAAAGTAATAGGATGTTGAAAAAATGTTTTTAATTCTAAAAAAATAAAGATGTTTGGAAGACTGCACAAAGATTCCCAAATTTTCCAATCTTTAAAAAAAAAATCACTATAGCAAAATTTATCTATCTATCTATTTTTAAATTAATCTTCACCCCAGGATATTCTTCCCATTGATTTCCAGAGAGAGGGAGGCAGGGAGGAGTGGGGGGAGAGAGAGAAACATGGATGTGAGAGAGACACATCGATTGACTGCCTCCAGCACATGCCTCTACCAGGGCCGGGGAACCTCCAACCAGGGTTCGTGCCCTTGCCTGGGAATCGAACCCACGACCCTTCGTCCGAGGGCCGGCGCTCTAACCACTGAGAAAACCCAGCCAGGATGCAAAATTTATTTTGGGCAAAATTGTCATTCCGACCCAATTGCTGCTGACAAAAGTGTATGTTCCCCAGGCTCCATGTGGGGCCCCAGTTCCGGGGAAACCTGAGACGATGTAGATGCGTCCAGCCTGAAGCACTCAGGGAACGAGACCTGGCAGCACAGCCTGCGGACCCCGGGGTGGAGAGAGAGGGGATGGAATATGAACCGGCGGTGGCCCCAGGACGTCACAAAAGGGCAAGACTTTGGAAATACTCTTAGAAAATGCTGGTAGTCGCAGTTTTTCAGGTACAAATCTCTATGCAGGATTCCGCCGTTCCTCACAGCAAGCCCTTTAAAAAATTAAAATTAAAAAAATATATACACACACACACACACTAGTATATATGTGTATATATGTATGTATATATACACATATATACATACACACACACATATATGTGTATGTATATATATTTATAGATTATTTTAGAGATAGAAGAAGGGAGAGTGATAGAGAGATAGAAACATCGATGGGAGAAACATCATCGATTGGCTGCCTCCTGCATGCCCCCCAGTGGGGATGGAGCCCACAACCCGGCATGTGCCCAGACTGGGAATCAAATGGTGACCTCTTGGTTCCTGCGTTGGCACTCAACCGCTGAGCCACATCAGCTGGGTGCAAGCCCATTTCACAGGTGAGGAAACGAGGTAGGAGAGGTTAGGTAAGCTCCTTGGGCAGCTAGAATGGGCCAGGCTCAAGCCCAAGCACTTCACATTCACATAGCATTTATGAGGTACATATTATCGCCCTAACTTTGCAGATGAAGAAACTGAGAAACCAGTTAAGAGACTTGTCCAGGTTCAGACAACCAGCAAGTGCTAGAGATGAGCTTCAAAACCAGGTCGGCTGAAGGGCCCAAGGCCCAGAGTGAGCATCTGCAGGGCAGTGCCAGAGTCTGGCAGGTACCATGCTGCGCTTAGAGACATGCTGTGTATAAAGTTCACATGATAGAAAACTTGCTAAAATAGAGGCTAGATTCAGCCTTAGGGCGTGTCTAGGAAGACTTCAGGGAAGCAATGTCTAAAAAGCTAAAGGGAATAGGGACCCTTCTCCTCTTATACCTTCATTCAACCCATCTGTAAATTCCGTTTTCTCTACCTTCAAAACAGGGCCAGCGCCCGACACCGGATCTTGGCTTCTGGATACCCCTCTCCTTCAAAGGGGCCAGGGCTCCTGGGCAGTGGCTGGTTCCAACGCGGGGCAGGCAAAGCACCAGGTGCGCCTGGAACATCTTGTGCTTAGAAAGCAGGAGGCACTCGCAGGATGACGGTAACCTGTGGGAAGGACACGGAACCAGCTTGAGGGAGTTCCCTCTGGAAAAGCAGGGACACGTTATGCATCAAGATGAGTAAGGGCGGTGCTCACTGAATGAAGGAGGGACCCACGAGCTCATACCAATTCTGGAAATATTAGAGATGCAGAGCGTAGGACGAGGGGGAGCCGAAGGGAGGAAGGCGAGTAGGGAAGTTCTTTTGCAGTAAGAAAGCCAACTCATCATTAAAGAAGGAATATAGAGTTTAAAATGACCAAGTTACAGCCACCATGATAACTGATTCAGGTAAGGACGGGTGTTAAAACCATGGGGTGACATTGGGGCGGGAAGGGTGTTGCATACCAGAATAGGGTAGTTTTAGTCTTACAGTATCTCCTCACAAGGTATGTGTTCATACCGAGGAAGAGTATGCAACTTTAGGTGGAGAAATCTTAACCAAGGGATCAAAGTTAACATCACCGGTAATGAGGCAAGCCAGCATGGGGCGGCTCCAGATCTGAGGGCTGAAGGGGCACAGTGCCGCCGCTGTGGTAGCCCCAGCAAAAAACGCATAACCTGAGTCCAATTGTGAAGAAATATCAAGCTGCCCTGGCCGGCTCAGTTGGTTAAGGATGTCATCCTGCCCTGGCTGGATAGAGCATCGGCCTGCGGACTGAAGGGTCCCGGGTTTGGTTCTGGTCAGGGGCACGTGCCCAGGTTGCAGGCTCAATCCCCAATGGGGGTGCAGAAGGCAGCCAGTCAATGATTCTCTCTCATCACTGATGTTTCTATCTCTCTCTTCCTCTCCCTTCCTCTCTGAAATCAATAAAAATGTATTTTTTTTTTAAAGAAAGAATGCCATCCTGACACACCAAGGGTCAGGGCACATACAAGGATCAACCAATGAATGCATAACCAAGTGGAACAACAAAACAATTTCTCTCTCTCTCTCTCTCTCTCTCTCTCTCTCAAAATCAATCAATAAATAAATTTAAAAGAAATATCACGCCAATCCAAATTAAAGGTTATTTTAGAAAATAATTGCCCTCTACTCTTCAAAACCGTCAGTGTCAGGAAGGACTAAGAAAGCCTGAAGCCTTCTTCCAGGCCTTAAAAGAGGAGAGCTGTGTGACAAGTAAATGCAGTGTGGGATTCCGAAGCAGATCTGGGATGGGGGAGGGGGAGAACGCAAAGCACGCCCCGGGGATAATGGCAAAATTCAAACACAGGCTTAAAGCAGACAATAGTATTCACTTAGCATCAACGTTCCTTAATTTAACAAGTATGTTGCGGTTATGGAAAAGAATGTCCTAGTTCACAGGAAATACGTATTTGAAGTATGTAGGAGTGAAGGTGCACCATGCAGCAACTTCCTCTTAAATCGTTCCACAAAATAATAATAACAACAACACAAATAATAGTAACGGAGAGAACATAGAGCCCATGTGGCAAATGTTAACGGTAGAGCAGGAGCTTCTGCGTCGGTGGACAGTGGCGATTTGGGGAGAGCGGCGCACTGGGAGAGGGGGACGCCCTGCCCTGCGAATCTCTCCCAGCGGGCGGCTGCTGAGTTCTTTCCTTTTATTACAAACTGACCATCTAATATCTTTTAACATTTTCCTGAGCTGCCGCCCTGAGCCTCCAGGTCGACCCAGGGCTACAGGGTTTGCGTTTGTTTCAAAGCCTGAGGCCCTTTCCTCCCATCCACCACCCTCTCCAGAGAGAGGACGGCAAGGCAAATGTACTCGTTGAACATCATGATTTCTTAATTTTTGTCAAAGTAACGCATATTATAAGCACAAAGGTTTCTCATGAATGGTAATAGTCTTCTCTCTTCCCTTCCAAGCCGTGGTCCTGGAAAGAAACCGCGTTTTAAAATCCTTTTGACCTATTCTAGTCTCAGTTCTCCTGGAGGATCCATATACTTAAAGCAGAATATGCTTGTTCTGCTATTTCTTTTCTTTTTCTTTTTTTAAAAAAATATTTTATTGATTTTTTTACAGAGAGGAAGGGAGAGGGATAGAGAGTTGGAAACATCGATGAGAAAGAAACACCGATCAGCTGCCTCCTGCACACTCCCTACCGGGGTTGTGCCCGCAACCAAGGTACATGCCCTTGACCGGAATCAAACCTGGGACCCTTCAGTCCGCAGGCCGACGCTCTATCCACTGAGCCAAACCGGTTAGGGCTCTTTTCTTTTTTTTTAATCCAAACCTGCAACCTAGGTATGTGCCATTACTGGGGTATCAAACCTACAACCCTTTGGTGTACAGGATGATGCTCCGACTCTGAGCCACCCAGTCAAGGCTGCTATTTCTTGATAGATCCATTGTGCCTGCCATCACCGACTGGATTCCAGCTCAATAGATGAGCATTTGACCCACTGTCCAGGTCAGCTACGCCCCTCTGTTACTTTAAAATCATAGCCCTCTGTGGTCATTTTCCGTATCAGCTGTCAGGCACAACAGTGGTTGAGCGGGTGGACTCTGGAGCCAGACTTCCTGGCCCAGACCAAGGCTCAGCCACTGACTGAGTGTGTGACCCTGGGCAACAAATGTAAACTTAGCTTCAGGTTGCTCATTCTCGAGAAGCGGTTAACACTAGCAGTACCTGCCCAGCAGCCTTGTTCTGAGGTTTAATGCGCTGGGACATGGAGAGCTCTCAGAACAGGACCAGCGATCCCAACCCTGCAAAGGTTGGCTGTTCCAAATTCTTGGTTGTCACCTTGTGGCTTCCCTTCCTTTATCTCTCTTGTGCCCGATTTCTGCTCTGTGCACACTGACTCTTATAATGCTCACGGCAGGTACTACTTACACTCTCTTCCTCGCATTGCCGAGGGGCACTGTCCCATACAGCAGCCACCAACCACATGGGGCTGTTTTAATTTAAATTAGTCAAAATTAAGTAACACTTAAAATTCATTTCCTCCATTACAACGGGCCAGCCACATTCCAAGTGCTCAAACACCACATGTGGCTGCTGCACTGGCCAGCACAGAGAAATGCTTGCCTCATCTCAGAAGTTCAAGATCAGCACTGTTTGGGCAGATGGAAAAGGACAAGAACCGAAGATTTCATTCCAATGTGGGGTCTAAAACAAGAAAACAACAAACAAACTCCTAAATACAGACAACAGAATTGTGGTTACAGAGGGGAAGTGTGGAAGGATGAAGAAGGGAAAGATATATGGTAATGGACGGAGACTAGACTTTGGGTAGTGAACGCACAATAGAGTAAACAGATGTTGTGTTATAAGGTTATATACCTGAAATTTATGTTATTAACTAGTAGTACCCCCAATTAATTTAATTTTTAAAAAAGGATAAAATATTTAGGAATAAATTTAACAAAGGAGGTGAAAGACCTATACACTGAAAGCTACAAGATATTGATGAAATAAATTGAAGATAACACAAATAAATGGAGAGATACTCCAAAAATTAATGTTGTTAAAATGTCCATACTACTCAATGCAATCTACAGATTCAATTTAAAAATCCAATGGTATAGTCCTGTGCACTAAAGGGTGGCAGGTTCTATTCTGATCAGGACACATACCCAGGTTGTGGGTTCGATTCCCAGGTAATCCCCTGTCGAGGAGCATACTGGAGGCAACTGATCGATGTTTCTCTTTCACATTGATCTCTCTCTCTCTCTTTCTCTCTCTCTCCCTTGCTCTCTCTCTGAAATAAATTAAAAAATATATCATTGGGTGAGGATTTTTTTTTAAAGCCAATGGTATTTTTCACAGAAATAGAACAAGCAATCCTAAAAGTATATGGTAGCATAAAAGATCTCAAATAGCCAAAATAATCTTCCATAAGAACAAAGATGAAGGCATCATGCGTCCCGATTTTAAACTATATTACAAAGCTGTAGTAATCAAAACAGTATAGTATAGACATAAAGTCAGACACTAAAACAATGGAACAGAAGAGAGAGCCTAGAAGTAAACCCACACATAAACAGTCTATTAACTTATGACAAAGAAGCCAGAATATACAAATGGGTAAAGGATAGTCTCTTCAATGAATTGTTCTGGGAAAACTAAAGACTTGCATAAAAAAGAATGAAAACAGACCCCTGTCTTACACCATACACAAAAACCAACTCAATATGGATAAAATACTTAAATATAAAAATCTTAGAAGAAAATGTAGGGGTAAGCTCCTTGACATCAGTCTTGGTGATTTTCAAATTTAGCACCAAAAGCAAAGGCAACAACCCTGGCCAGTTTGGCTCTGTGGTTAGAGGGTCGGCCCACGGATGGAAGGGTCTTGGGTTCGATTCCCAGTCAAGGGGGTCAAAGACATGTACCTCAGTTGCAGGTTCGCCAGCTCCAGTTGGTTGCAGAAGACAACCAATCACTATGTCTCTCTCAAGTGATATCTCTCTCTCCGTGATGTCTCTCTCTCTCTCTCTCTCTCTCTCTCTCTCTCTCTCTCTCTCCCTCCCTCCTCCTCCCTCCCTTCCACTCTCTCTAGAAATCATGGGGGGGAAATATCATTGAGTGAGGATTAACAACAACAATAAAAAACAAGCAAAGGCAACAAAAGCAAAAATAAACAAATGAACTACAACAAACTAAAAAGCTTCTGCACGGCAAAGGAAGCAATCAAAATGAAAAAGCAACCTAAAAAATGCAAGAAAAAAATTCAATCATATATCTGATAAGGGGTTAATATCCAAAATATATAAATAACTCATACAACTTAATAACAAAGACACAAACAATTTCAAAATGGGTACAGGATCTGAATAGATATTTTCTGAAAAAGACATACAGATAGTCAACAGATACATGAAAAAAGTGCTCAATATCACTAATCATCAGGGAAATACAAGTCGAAACCATCATAGGGTATCACCTCCCATGTATTGGAATGGCTATTGTCAAAAGGACAAGAACTAACAAGTGTTGGAGAGGATATGAAGAAAATGAAACCCTTGTGCACTGTTGGTGGGAATGTAAATTGGTGCAGCCTTTATGAAAAGCAGCAAGGAGGTTCCTCAAAAAGCTAAAAACTACCATCTGATTCAGCAATTCAACTTCTGGGTATTTATATAAAGGAACTGAAAACACTAATTCAAAAATATATCTGTACCCTACGTTTATTGCAGCATTATTTCCAACAGGCGAGATCTGAAAGCAACACAGGTGTCCATCCATGGATCAATGAATAAAGAAAACATGGTGCACATGTATACAATGAATATTATTTGGCCAAATAAAGGAAGGCAATCTTGTCATTACAACAACATGGATGGATCTGGAGGGCATTATGCTAAGTGATATATGTCAGACAGAGAGAGACAAATACTGTCTGATCTCACTTGGATGTGGAATCTAAAAAGCAGACAAAACGAAAACCAAACTCAGATACAGATGGGTGGTTGCCAAAGGTGGGCTGGACAAAATGGGGGGAGGGGGTCAAAGGGTACAAACTTCTAGTTATAAAATAAACAAGTCCTGGTGATGTAATGTACAGCACACTGACTATCGTTAACAATACTGTATACTTATTTGAAAGTTGCTAAGAGAGTAGATCCTAAAATTTCTCATCACACACACACACAAAAATCGTAACTGTGTGGCAATGGATGTTAACTAGATTTATGTGGTGA